AAAAAAAAACATGTAATTAATTAATTAATAAGTATTGTAATTCAATAATTTATATGCATTTCAGTTATTAGAAAAAATAACTACTGTGAATGCTCCCATATGGTACATTGTAGTAGAAAATTGTGGCCAATGAAAAAAACTTACGTTTTACATTAGGTTGGTTATTCATTTATGTTAAAAATTTTTAGTAAGTTCATTATTAATGTTAATTTAACAACAGCTGGCACAAATCCAGTGGTTAGCATATCTTAATATAACGGGTGCAATGAGATCTTGTCCGACGGCTGCTTTGGAAGCCCTACTCAGTCTCATATCGTTCCATTGATATATACAAAAGGAGGCAGCTTCAAGTGCCTTATAACTGAAAACATTTTCTTCACTCCACACCTCGAAACCTTCAACCTCGACCTTATACCGACAGAATACAATTGAAGGGTACAGGGGAAGAACATACTAAGTCACAAAAATTCATTTTTTAGATTTTGGTGCCATCTGTTAGCGACGACATGACTCTAGCTTTGTATCAAGTCCATATAATGAAATATCAATCCTAGTCCATAGAAATCGGCTTTGAAATTTGAGTGTGCAACGAAAGAACATTCTAAGTCCACCGGACTCATCAAGCAGGCTTGCATAAATGTGACGTTTGCATCAGATTGCGTCAGTGTGACAAGTTATTTCGTTGTAATGTGTTTGTGCTTGAAGTTTTTATTTTCTTATTGACTTACTGATCGTGTTAATACAGTCTGTAAGTTTTGGACGAAATACAAAAAAAAAGAAAGTTACGTTCTGCTAATAAGAGGTTACGTGTTGCTAGCCATGAGATTTTAATTTGCTGGGATCGAAAAACAATCAAAGTGCTTATTTAGCTGGCTTAATTTCAATTCATCAGCTAAAACGTAGAAGACCACGAAAAAATGAAGCAGAGAGTAACTTGCACAATCATGCATTTTGTTACAAAGTTAGATTGGTACGTGAAACAGGTGCGATTGAGGTTCCTATATGCAGGAAGGCATTTCTTTCAATTTTTGGGATAACTTCTCAGATCATAAGGACTATCCAACATTCACTCATTACAACANAACTCAGCATATTTGATTGTTACACACTTTAAAAAATCGTATCTCAAAAACGAATTGAGATATAACGATGAAATAAGAAGCATTTTAAAGCAAATTTGATAAAGATTTAATGTTCCAAAAATAATTTCTTAATTTCCATAGACATGGTTGTTATTATTTTTTAAACCCAACTCAGCATATTTGATTGTTACACATTTTAAAAAATCGTATCTCAAAAACGAATTGAGATATAACGATGAAATAAGAAGCATTTTAAAGTAAATTTGATTAAGATTTAATGTACCAAAAATAATTTCTTAATTTCCATAGACATGGTTGTTATTATTTTTTAAACCCAACTCAGCATATTTGATTGTTACACATTTTAAAACATCGTATCTCAAAAACGAATTGAGATATAACGATGAAATAAGAAGCATTTTAAAGCAAATTTGATTAAGATTTAATGTGCCAAAAATAATTTCTTAATTTCCATAGACATGGTTGTTATTATTTTTTAAACCCAACTCAGCATATTTGATTGTTACACACTTTAAAAAATCGTATCTCAA